TTTTAAAAATTTATATAATAAAATTCTCTTTTTATAATGAATTTTGAATAAATTCAAAATTCAAAAATTCGTTATAAACAGGTTCGTTATATCCAGGTTTGACTGTATTTTTTTCACACTTAACCAATCGTCACACACATACACACGTGACTCATCTCTTTTTATTTTAGACAAGAGTCTCCTTACTTTAACTTCATCATCACTACGATGACAATCGCGATTATGATGACCACGCTTTCGACTCATTGAATCTTTGGTTGCACCACACCATCCACCACTTTCTTTTTGGTACCAAAATCTTCGTACAAACCTAAACCCAGTGAGATTGCAGCAGCTATTGTCATCAGCAACACGTTTCTCCCAAAAACACATATCCTTTGATAAAATTGGGTACCCTCTTTCGAAATTTCGGAAGCGATCTTCAGGGACGAAGTACTCTTTGAATTATCTTCTTTTGCATCTGAACCTTGATCTGGTGTTGACGGTTTCCCGAATTCTATGTGATCCTGATCCATTATATTTGACTGAAGAATCACTTCATCGCTGCTTAGACTGGTTCTGTGGTCCATTTGCAAACCTTTTAGAAGCCCATATAGACCTCCAATACTTCTCAGAAGGTTTAAATTTTTTGGATTTAATAAACTTTTTAAATCTTCTCTTTCGAAAGCGAATGGATTAATTATGTGAGTAGACTGCGCTTACTCCTTTTATCTAAAGACGTAGAACTCATTGTTTTTTGTAGTTGCGCATCGCATTTCATGTTCATGTGACTGAACTTTTCGGGGTGACCCTGGTAGAGTCGTCATTTATTTTGAACCTCGAAAAAAACTTATCGTATTGCAATTCGATAAGCTATTTTCGGTATCTATGGTTGAGGAGTTTTGAGGTTGATTTGTTGAGCCTGAAGAGAACTTTTTTTTTTGTTTTTTGATCAAAAAAGAAAAGAAAATAAAATAAATAATGAAAACAAAAACAAAATATTAGAGAGTGTCTACGACAGATTCTTGAAGAAAAAGTTTAGAGATATACCGTGGTATTTCAAATGCTAATTAGTCAAGATTATGAGGTGCAGTAATAATGACATTACTAGCAGAGTTTCAGTTGTAGAACAGGGGTATTATATAATGTTTTATTGTACCATGATACTATATTCGGAAATATCAATTATTATTGTTATGATTTTTATCGTTATCGTCATAATTTTGATTATTGTCACTCTAATAATATTTGTTTTTTCTATCACAAAAAAATAAAATAAAATGAGAGAATGCAATAAGTTTCCATTTTTTATCTGTAATTATGACAAAATGAACTACTGCTATTCGCAAAGCATGTAAAGAATTTTCCAAAAGTCGTTCTTGGTGTGCCCATGAAAAATTAATGGTGATTTATTATCAGGAACAAAGAAATTCAATTCATAAACAGCAACAAAATTTGGAATTCAAAGAAAACAAGTTCACAATTGGATTACAAAAAAACAAGAATTACAAAATGCAATACCTTACAAATTAAAGTTATATCCAGGATATAATGCAAACTATTCTAAACTCGAAAATGAACTTGCTGATTGGATTTTTGAAAATCGAGACAAAGCAAATATAGTAACAAGAGATATGATTACACAAAAAGTCAAAATTCTTGCTATTAAAAATCAATATCAAGAATTATATCCTAATATTAATGATTTTAAATTTTCTTCAAAATGGTTGGATGGATTTTTATTTCGTAAAGAATTTTCTAATTGCCGTCAAACTACAGTTGCTTAACAATTACTTAAATATTTAATTAAAAAACAAAAAGAATTTTTAAGCTATATATTATATAAGTGACAAGAAAATAATTATATGCTTAATTGTATTGGAAATATGGATGAAGCTTCATTATTTTTTGATCTTCCAAGTACAGATGGGTCGTACAAAATTAAGCTGATAGTGACAAATTTTATATTGCTTTTGTGGTGACAATTGATATTTTCATTAAAAATGTACCTACATCATTGCTGCACATTAACAAAAAGCAACTGTTTTTGTTTGATTTATTATTTAAACTCAAAAAAAAAATCCATGTTTTAAATTATATACATTAATGGAATGCAAAACTGATCTTACGAAAGATGAATGTCATACAATAAAAATATTAAAGAAAGAAGGCATGTCTGCTGCAAAAATTGTATGAATTCTTAGAAGATCCAATACTTGCATTAAAAATTATCTTAAATAATTAAAATCAACAAACAACTCTGACTACATAAAATGAAAAAATAGTGGCAAAAAACCAATTGTCACTAAATGCTTTGAACAGTTAATTTTACAAAAAATCAAGACTGATTCAACAATAAACAAAATGTCCAAATGTATACATGTGGTGTAAATTATTTTGCTGTTGACTCAATTCCCAAAATCCTCAAAAATAATTGTGTCATAACTCAATTATTTATATGTTTTAATAGTGACTCAATTAATTGCGTCAAATAATTGCATCAATTGTGTCAAGGATCTATGAATTTCAGCAACATGTATATCCAAATGTATACTTACTACTGAATTTTCATCCATATCTATTTCCTATCATACTTTAGTAAAGATTTTTAAAAAAATAATATTCATTCCTACGACACACATAAAAAGCCATTTATTAATGAAAAAAATCAAATTAAATAATTGAATTGGGCAAAAACTTACTAACACTGGACAAAAGAAAATTGGTGACATGTTATTTGGACCAATGAATTCTCTATTAGCACAAACTCTTATAGAAAAGTTCATGTTTAGTATCACAAAGATGAACTTTATAATCTAACCTGTACACAGGCAACAGTTAAAAGTGGACAAAAGGTAATAATGATCTGGGGTTGTATAGATAGACATAATTTGCATCATTTAGTTTATGCTTCATCTCGTATAAATGGAATTGAATATGGAAATCTTATTTTTAATACCATTTATTCAATAATTTTAATCACAGAAAAAGGAATTATACAAAAAGACAATGTACCTATTCACAAGTGTAAACTTGTGAATGAAATAAAAATTGTACTTGAAATCAAGACTATGGAATGGCCATCACAATCACTAGACCTTAGTCCAATTTAAAATATATGGAGAGAGGTTAAGATTTGAATTAATAAAAATTGAAAATCACATAATAAATCTGATTTGGAAGAAGCTGTTACTGAAGTAAGTATGACATAATTTGACATTTAATAAAATTCTTCATTTTATTGATTCAATACCAGATTGGATAAAAGAAATAATAATAAAAAATAGACATATAACATGTTGGTAAATAATAGTATTACATAGAAACAAAATTTTATCATATTAATAAATTTTTTTTATAAAAATCAGTTTAATTTTGTATGAACTGTTTGTATAATTACAATAAATAAGTATTAATCCTCAACTGTTACAATTTGAACAACAGGTCCTGAAAAAAAATGCTTTACCATAATTCTTGAATATATGACTGATGGTTTGAAACTTTCACCAATTTGTATTTTTAAGCTTAAAAATATATCACATGAAATTTTTTCTAGTGAAATTCATATTCATGTAAATAAGAAAAGATAATGTACACAAATTCTTCTGGAAAAAAAATTCAAAAACAACAAAAACTTCGACAAAAATCAAACACAAAAACTACTAAACACCAACATCCACAC